GGGAGATCTGTACTAAACTACCTGAGAACTTATCTACATTTTCTTAAGTTAGAGGAGAAAGAAGAGCATGATTTACTTGTAGCTCTGCTTGCATTCCTGAAAAGGGAGGTAACTGTAAGAGAAGTATCACAAGAAGCTGACAGTGTAGGTCCTTCAGATTTTCCTTATTGAGTCTCTGAACTAATGCTCTTTGGAGAAGGACGTGAAAGTACTGGAAGCAGTGCAGAGGTGATGCTTGCTCTCTGTCTTGTGTTCTGACAGTGTTTCTACCCAGCCACACATTTTGCTGCTGAGAATTTAGACCTACAGTTGGTGTTTGATGAGGAGTGCACAATTTTTCATGCAGAAGAGACTTAGAAAGACAGAAATGTTATACCAGACACACTCTTCCCACAACCAAGAAGATAATCTTAGCATTCGTGAGAAATTAAACACTTGCTCACTGGGAGATAACAGAAAGTCCAGCCACCTATAGTAAGCTTTAATAAATTTTTAATGTCAGTTTATGATCAGGCTGATTCCAATTAAGATGATGATGATGTTAATTTTGAATACATATTGAATTAAATTACGTGAAAGTCCCATCCACTACCTTCCACCCCCCCACTGCCTTAATGCTACTAGAACGTTTTTCCTCCAAAACAGCAACTGAAGCTTCAAATCTGTCCCTCTTCTGTTTGTGCAACATTAATTCTTTTACTATTGCAACTACCTTTTTTGTTCGCATAATACTTTGTCTTCAGCTCAGAGCTGGCTGAGCCCTTGCGGGTGATGCGACCTTAGAAGGCGTGTTCAGCATCACATTCAAGAGAAAAGGGGAGCTCTAACTTGTCGAGAGAGCTGCTGATTTTTCAAAGAAGCCTAAGAATTTGAATTGCACAAATTAGTGGGTAATTTTTAAATGTTATTATCACTTGGTGTAATTTGATTGTTGTCAGAGATGACAGCTATAGAAGGAGGAAGGCATTTTCTACCCTCTCTTTTTAAAATGTATAAGAGATTAAGCTGAAAATAGCTCAAATAATCTAGACCTTGCAAAGTAAAGGTCCTACCTTTGAGTAGGATGACTTCCGTGTTTTCAAAAAGATGGAAATTTTGTCTGTTTTCTGCTCGTGTTCTGGTTCTACCTGTATGTATGTCCAGTTTCTCCCATATTATTAGTATAAATCAGAGATATCAGAGGAGCCTACAGTATGTTTTCACAGTTCCTTCATTATTATAATGCAGTTTTACACCCTAAGAACTGAAATCATTTTAGCAGCAGGAGGATGTTAAGATCATCTATGCATTTCTATCAACAGGAGAACTGAAATGCATGAAGTAGAGATAACTGAATCAGTTATGTGTATAAAAAGAAAAAAGAAATTAAAATCAGTCCAGTCACTGAAGTCATATTTATTTTTGGCCTCAGTTAAATGTATCCATTTGTTTCCCAGGCTTTTGAACTTCTAATTTATATATAATAATCATAGGAATTTATGAAGCTGTATTATACAGCTAAGGGCAGCTATAGTGTACCTATAGTAAAATGAAGCAGAGAAAAGGTAAGAGGAGAATGACACCCAAAAGCTGCCTCATGCAAAGCTCTACAGAGCAGCACAACAGAACGTTGCCCAGCTGAAGCCCCTTCTTTCCACAGAAACAAGTAATTAGAATTTTCTTCTACTATTATCTGGGCTCAGTGTGGATTTGTGGCATTCTGCCGGCTTCGGTAAAGGCTTTCTGGAGATTTGACAGCAGAAAATGCCACAGTCCAAATTTATATCCTGTGTGCATTTGTAATGTGAACATTTCAACTTCTGTTCTTTCCGTGGGGATTTAAAGTGGAGTGTGTGAACCAGACATCTGTAATGGTACTGTAATCAGGCTGTGGGGATTAAGCTTATTAATAATGAAATATTGTCCTGGGCATGCAGTCATGTTCTGATATTATGTTAGAAATTTTAGCAGACAAAACCTGTACTCAAAGAGCAGTATTCAACACAGATCCTTAAAATAAGAAAAGGATAAATTCCATAAAAAGCTGAGATGTGACTTAAAAAATCCTTATACAGATCACATTCACATACTGCAAGGAGTTAAAGAGCTCTATGAGTGTTTGAAGCACCATTAAAATTGTGAGGTCTCCAAAGTAAAATATAGGTATTACGAGATCTAATATTTTTTTCATCTCTGTGTAATAGCACTGATAAATTTTATATCAGCCTGAAAGAGGATGAGGACTTTCAAATTCAAATGTCAGTTTTTCAGCTATCTTGAATGCTGCAGAAGGAAGGAAACTTGTGTCATGATAGTTAGCCTAGATGAATTGATCCAAATTTTGTGAACAATATGAGCTGCATGCACTTGCTATGGACTTACGTATGTTCAAGATGAAGATATTTTGTATTAAATTTTAATCAAATGTAATTGTGCAGATTTCAGAAATCTGTATGTACACTGCTGTTGACTATATTGGATTCGGGCTTCCTTTTCGTGTGTGGATATTAACCTGCTCAGTGAAAAAGCAGACTTAGCAAATGAATGTGAGGAAGAGAAACACAAGTTAATTCAGGCTTTAACCTTGGCTGGACACCAGGTGCCCACCAGAGCCACTCTATCACTTCCCCTCCTCATCTGGACAGAGGAGAAAAAATATAATGAAAGGCTTGTGGGTTGAGATAAGGACAGGGAGAGATCATTCACCAATTACTGTTACGGGCAAAACAGACTCAGCGTAGAAATTAATTTATTGACAGTCAAATCAGAGTGGGGTAAATCTTAAAACACCTTCCCCACTGTCCCTCCCTTCTTCCTGGACCCATCTTTACTCACAAATTCTCTACCTCCTCCTCCCAAGTGGCAGAGAGGGACAGGGAATGGGGGTTGTGGTCAGTTCATCACACCTTGCCTCTGCTGCTCCTTCCTCCTCACACTCCTCCCCTGCTCCAGTGTGGGTTTGCTCCCATGGGAGACAGTCCTCCTTCTTCAGCATGAGTCCTTCCCATGGGCTGCAGTTCTTCACAAACTGCTCCAGCGTGCCTTCTGTGGGGTGCCATCCTTCACGCACAGACTGATCCAGCGTGGTTCCCCCGCAGGGTCACAAGTCCTGCCAGCAAACCTGCTCCAGTCTGGGCTCCTCTCCAGGGGGTCCACAGGTCCTGCCAGGAGCCTGCTCCAGCACAGGCCTCCCACGGGGTCACAGGCTCCTTCAGACATCCACCTGCTTCAGCATGGGGTCCTCCCACTGCAGGTGTATCTCTGCTCCACCATTACCCTCCATGGCTGCAGGTGTATCTCTGCTCCACCGTTATCCTCCAAGGCTGCAGGGGCACAGCCACCTCGCCATGGGCTGCACCACAGGCTCAGGGGAATCTCTGCTCTGGTGTCTGGAGCACCTCCTCCCCCTCCTCCTACACTGACCTTGGTGTCTGCAGGGTTGGTTTTCTCACATATTCTAACTCCTCTTGTCTGGCTGCTGTTGCACAGCAGTTTTTTCCCATTCTTAAATATGTTATCCCAGAGGCACTGCCACCATTGCTGATGGGCTTGGCCTTGACCAGCAGCAGGTCCATCTTGGAGCCGGCTGGCATTGGCTCTATCAGACATGGGGGAAGCTTCTAGCAGCTTCTCACAGAAGCCACCCCTGAGCTCCCCCACTACCAAAACATTGCCACAAAAACCCAATGCAAACCTCAAATGGTTCTATAGTTCTGTATCTTTCACATAGCTTCTGTTCGGCTTCCCAGGGCTCATAGCTGAGGACTGTTGCATAAAAGGTCAACTTCTGTCTGTCCCCATGATTTTTTACAAAGAGGTATGTTGTGCAGCTTTTAGGGACCATACATGATATTGTGGAGTCCAAACTGCAGGTTGCCTTAGTAGGTCGGATTAAATGTTGGTTGGGCATGCGTATGCCTCGCTGGTGAACTTGAACTGTAGGTGTATCTTGACAACCTCTGAGATGTTTCAAATGGAAGTTGTAGATACTGACACTCTGTCAGGGATGCTCTTTGCTGAAGGGCTGTGTTTCATGCTAGATTAAGTGTCCTTGAATGGACCTGATGTCCAGTGTTGGGGGGAAGTGGGGGTTCAGCATAGAGTTTCAAAGGTTGTTAATAACAGTGGACAGATTGCATCAAAGAGAGGATCACAAATGAGCTTTCTGCATAGCAGGAAAGGTTTCTGTTTGGCCTCTCAGCTTGTGCATCCCAGAGCCAGTGGGGTCCTAAGGTACACTTCAGTAGCCAGTTGTGGGCATAATTTGTCTGAAATATGAGTCTTTTTTGCCATATTGGCTGAACCCCCTCTCTGTATTTCTCCAGGCCATTTTAAATGCCTCTGTTTTGCTTCAGTCAGTCTTAGCTGGCTGCACAGCAGGACCTCAGCAGTGGCAGCCTGGCCCCGCTCCCTGCCTGCGTGGCAGAAGGTGGGGTTGAACCCAGCGAGAGCTGGGCTGAAGCCCTGAGGCAGAGGAGCTGTTGACAGAAAACATCCTGATGTTCCTTGGAGCAGAAGAAATGAGACCACTGAGCTCCAGTTCAGTCTGTCACGTGCCGGTGTCCATAAGTGAGCTGGCAAAGCCCTGTGGCCAGCCGTGTTGGCCGACTGACATTGTGCTGAATGAGTTGCAAAAGAGAAAGAAAGGATCACTGATGAGATCCACATTGACAAGGGGGAAGACAGTGATGGGATATGAGATATGCTTTGTTCTGACTCCTTGTCACTCAGCTCATCTGAAATAGAAAGTTGGAAATATGGCAATGACTTGGAAATTTTCAGAACAGCGAGTTGCAAGGAGGGCCTGCTGAGCCACCTGTGCCAAGGCTCAGTGCTTCAGCTATAGCGTTCCTATATATGCCTTTTTTCCCCCTGTTTTTTTTTTCTATGCAGTAATTCTTACATCTTATATATGTATTTTCATGGATTGTATCAGTGAGGTATACATGCATTCTGCTGGATAAAAACAATGTGTAATATAAAATATTCATTTTAACAAGTAATCTACATTCTTTATGCAGGTACAGAAGGCTTGGGATTTAGCATTACTTCAAGAGATGTCCCAATTGGTGGCTCTGCTCCAATTTATGTGAAAAACATTCTTCCAAGAGGTGCAGCTATTCAAGATGGGAGACTAAAAGCTGGAGACCGATTAATTGAGGTGATGAAGTGTTACATGTTGTTTGTTAGTTTTTGGCATGAGCCCATGCACTAGTTCACTTCCAAAGGCTCTCAGTAGTTTATGTTATAGGAAAATGTTTCCCACTTCTTCTTGTCTTTTTTTTTTTCTTTTCCTTTTTGGCTTTGTTTTTTTAGGTCACAGATTAAGGACTGTGCATTTTCAGTACATAACTGTTCTAAGAGCTTGACCCAGACATACTGTGAAAACATGAGGTTACATGTCCTTATGTGTATATAGTGCCATAGTCTTGCATTGCTGTTTAGGAATAAGTTGAAGCGAAGTGATTATTATCTAATAAGTGGCATTAAAGCAGCATGGAGTGACAGACCAGAAATTATTGGAGACGGTACCAAGAGTGGGAGACCCTGAAAAGGTTTAATGAATTAACTGAAAGGCACAATATGAGAGGAAGGTAGTGTGCTATGGAAAATCAAGGCCACTTCCCTCCTAAAGGGAGAATGCCCTCAAGGGTATTCAGCTTCTTGTAGACAGGCACACAGCAGAGATCTTCCTGCAAATCTAGCTGGACTGATATAAGATGTTAGCACCCACAGCTCTTCATTACCGTCCCTAAGCCAAATGGCACTGGATGTACAGCTGTGGCTGTAACTGCCTCTCAGTGCCCTAACTTCACTTTATTGCAAAATTGGCAACGTCAGCTTGAATTGTTGCTGTAGGATAGCCTTCTGTAATTACTGTAATTCAAGGTAACACAGATGAATTGGGTAGAAGGGGACTGAGAAGCATTTAAGACGAGAGTTATGTCATCTCAGCTGTGTGAGCTGTGATCTCTTATGAGGGGAAGGAAGAAGATGATGGTTTGCTGACTTCTGAGCACCACACTCCCTTGCTTAACACAGTTAGCTGATTTACATTTCCAAAGTGTTTCTGAACAAGCAAGCCTGAGAATACTCTGAGTTAGCTCATACAGTGAGAAATTTACCTGTATGTATTCCATACCTGTCTGTCCCGGTAAGTGGTATGTGGAGGCCAAGGGGTTGCACTGCTGAACAAAGACAAAATAAAAAGTAACTACCCCAAAGCTGTTTGGCGAACGAAAAAAAATTCTACTTTTGACACAATTTGTTGTGCAAGATATATTCAGAAGTTATGTATAATACCAAGACATGTGGAAACAGGACCAGTTTGGGATCATACATTGATTTTTGCCAAAGGATTTTTATGCAAAAATTAGTGTAAAAAAATATTGGTAGATGGGATTAGTTGGCTTTAGAGTATACTGGAGTATACTGTTGCTGCTAAAAGGAGGGAAATATAGCTGTCTTGCCTGTTATTTGTATGTCAAGAATACATGTTTAATCAGTTCTATTAAGTTGAAGCTGTACTGAGCCAGTAAGCAGGTTGCTTCTGTGAGGTTTTTTTAATACTGTCCCATATGATTCATGTGACTTCTCAATATTAATTTTTACTGTTTTTCCTGTTTTGGAGTCTTACCAATTTCTAATATTTCCTTTGTCACAGGTAAATGGAGTTGATTTAACAGGCAAAACTCAAGAAGAAGTTGTGTCCTTGCTGCGAAGCACCAAGATGGGAGGCACTGTCAGCCTTCTGATTTTTCGACAAGAAGAAACATTCCATCCAAGGGAACTGGTGCGTAAAATAGAGAGCAGCTAAGAGATTTAGATGAGTATAAGCAAATGATTTTATCTTGTCACCTGCTAGTAAACGTGCAAGGCCAGCACTGAATATAAGGAAAAAAACCCTATTTTACTTTATTTAGAAGATTTTACATGAATGCTTTTTTATTCTCTTCGAGATCTGATATTGGAATTAAATATTTGCTGTTAATGTATAAGTGAGAGTTTTATTTTGAGTGAAAATGTTTATTATGGAAAAAGATATTGGATGGACTTTATTTGGATGCATGCAGCCAAGTAGATTATGTCATATCTTTCACATGGAGAAATCTATGTTTGAAAGCCTGCTATTTGTCCTGCTACCTACTCACGAAAATATTTCAGAGCATATAATATTGTGCCAAAACAGGATATGTAAATACCTTTCTATCAAAAAGTGGAATATATAAGAAATAGTAGCCTTTTTTGAATATAAATGCAATCTCTGTGGAATAGAAACCCTGCAGTTATTAATTTAGCAGGGTAATTCAGAAAATGTTTCTGAGGAATTTACATGAAATGGAAATAAAATAATACTTCATACTGTACCTTCTCCACTTGCATAGTGTATACAGATATTTCTCTGATAATTATTCAAGATAATTTCTGTTATGAAAAGGTAGACTGTGAATGTAGCAGTCTTACTTTGTTCTGTATTCAATTAAACTACTGAAGTTATTTATTATTTGTATTATCGTAGCTATATATAGCTCTAAAAATAACTTATTTGGCTACATTATCATGAGAAGATAGTCACATAGAAGTGACACATATAACTATGATGAATAGATTGCTTCATTTTTCTATTGGATGTGTGTTACTTTGAATGCAAAGAGAATTCATTTTAGTTTGACAATTACAAGATGTTTAACATTAGCCTTTTACTTTTCAAAACTACAATAAACCTAGGAAGTCAAAGTGGCAGCGAAGGTTGCAAATGAACCACTTTTTCCTTAATATTCTTGGAACATGAGTTAAGGTACTGAAGTGAAAGCTGTTGTAAAATGAAGAGAATTTGAAATCATATTATGCCCCACCTTATTAATGGAACTGTGAAAACAATCTGTTTATAAGTTCCTATGATGTAATTTTCACAGTATTGCTATCTGACATAAAGGTGAATGAAAATGCTTTTTAAGTTTTCTAAATAAACTTAGAAGTAAGAAAATGTCTTAATTTTGTGTAAATTATTTCTCTAGTAAAATCAAGAAGTTATAATGCATAATTTAACATGATACATTACTGTAGACAAAGATATGATGTGAGCAATGCAGAGGTTTAATAGTCATACTTGATGTAGTTTTAAAAACAACAGCAAATCAGCCCCTTTAAATTAGTTCAACCTCAGTAGCCTCCCTGCTGCTGCTCAGGGGATACTCTCAGCTATTTTGGCAAACACCAGCATAGAGAAGCCAGATGTCATTGCGGCTGTGTCAGGTAGTAGGTGGGCTCTGTACTGTGTAGTCAGAGATCAGATCTGAACTGGTGTGCCTTTCTGTAGCTCCAGTGGAACAAACGATATTGTGAGGATCTGACAGTACATGAGCGTGACGATCCTCAGTTGCATAAGGATTTGTTTGTTTGCATTTTGACATGAAGAGCTGTTAGGTGTGCTCTGCTGACAGCTGTCAAGAGAGCAGGAGCAGAATTGCTGGGGAACTAAAACTCATCATAAGGGCTGTTCTTTCTTCTCTGGTAAGAAATAATCCTAAAAGAAAAAAAAAAAGTCTTTTCAACCAGACCCTCTCACTGACTTTTACTAGCTTTCTGTACAAAAAATGAGAAATTAATGTTGAAGGAAGGAAGGGAATATTCTGAGATCATGTCAGTTCATCTTTTTCACGTGCAAACCTTCTTTGGCCACTTAGGAACAATTTGTCTTTCCATCCTTCCCCTATTTCTTTCGTATTTTCTACATTTGTATGCTTTAAATATTAACTGAATGAGGTGTGTCTCAGAAACTGTGTGCATGAAATCATGTTATTTGATATTATCCGTCTCTTAAAGGGCAGGACTGGCTGAGGAGCACTCAGTATTAAAACCATTTTATATTTGCCAACATTCGTATAGATAGTAATCCCAATAAAAGAGTTGTTTAGATTTTATGTTTTGGGTTATGGCTTGTTGAATGGCTTTTCAAAAGTTACGTGTCCTTGGGGCTTTTTATAAGTAAAATGAAGATAATAAACTTTCAGGAGAGTTGTGGAGTTTAACATCTTTGATATATGTTGCTGTTATTGTCTGGAAAGGACCTATGAAAATGTGTAGTTTTATCTAAAACTTATGGGAATGTTAGGCTAAGGCTGTTTAGGTTAATATGGGATCTTTGTAGCTTGTGTGGTCAGGTTAGGGCGTGCGTGTGTGATGAAGAACCATCATCCAATGCAACAGGTCATGGTAAAAGTGAGTAAAATGTGGAAGCAGGTAATAAAATTAAATTGGCAGGAGTCAACTTTTCTAACCAGTGAGATCTGGAAGAACAATTATGCCTCTCCAGAATACCAGCCATTTTATTGCTTCCAGAGTTACCTAATGCCAGATAGGTAATCTATTAGGTATTGTCCTAATAAGAGTAAGGCAGATTGCCTCTTAAAAATCTTCCCTATCTGCCCCCTCCCTTTAAGAAAGGGGCGAGGATTACTCTGGTTAGGTAGAGCTCCTGTAACACTGTGGTTACCTCACGTAACCAAACGTTAAGTTGCTGTGAAGGATTTTCTTTAAGCCTGCTACTGTATGTGAATACACTGAAGGACTGACTTGAGTTACTTAGCTTTTAAGCTTTACTTTCAGTATCAGCAGAGACTGGCTGGCAGAGCACACCACTACCACATGTACCTACCACTGGTACATGTAGGTCCTTTACATGTTCCTGGTAGTTGGCTCTTTCATTGTTTTCTTCTTATTGGTTGTGGCTGCAGGTTAAAGCTAACAGGCTGTTTGTGTTACTACTTTGGCACTACGTTTTTGTGCTTAATAATTTGAATCTCCTGCAAAACAGCCCAAAGCATAAAAGTCCAACAAACCCTAGCATTATTTCATTTTAGCCCAGCTGAATGGAAAGAAGTAGCTGGTTAGCGGAGAAGTGATTATCCAGACAGCAGCAAGGTGGCTCCTGGGTGCTGAAAGGGGTTTTAATATGGGTGGATGTGTGCTTGGAAGAGCAATAGGTTCCTTAACGTGTGTTCCCAGTCTTGGTTGGGGGATGTAGAAAGGTTTTCCAAAGTTGTATGTTTGCCTTATGTGCACTGAGACTCAAGTGAGAAATGCAAAGTTCAGGAAGGTCCCATCTCTGGTGGACTGAAAGGACTCTCCTGTCCTGGGCTATCCAGTGCTGTAGTTCTGGTTCATCCAAACACACTCTGAAGGGGAATCCCTTGTTCAAATGAGAATGGATGTTTTAAAAAATAGGTACTTGTTTAAAATATTTGGAAGGGTTCATCTGGACTGCTGAGGTCGTTCTTTGAAGCCTTCAAGCAGCAGGAAAAGGCCAGGGAGAGCATCCCCAAATTAGAATGTTCCACTAACCTGAAAAAGGTGCAAGCAGCTGGGATCCTTCCTTGGCCCGATAGCCACCTCCTTTGGAGCCAGATAAAGTCAGGTGCACTGGCCTGAGATCGCTGGAGGTTATTTTTGTTCACCTCTCATTTAGTGCCTGTTTAGACAAATTTGGATCAGGGAGTGTGATGAACACCCTTCATTTTTCCATTACCACTTCACATCAGAATTAGAGCTCTTTGTTTATCCCCCTGCTGATAGATAGTATATGTCGTATGTAGTCGTGTTCTTATTTATTTTTTTTACTTCCTTTAGAATGCAGAACAAAGCCAGTCACAAATTCCAAAGGAAACGGTAAGAGCTTTGTCTTTTCCATACTGGAAGACTCCCAAATGTTTTTAAATTGATATGGCACTTCTCCATCAAAGTTCCACAGATCCTCCTTTCACCTTATATACTGTAGATGGCTCTCTCTAGCTTTACATTTTAAATGCGTTTTTTATTGTAATTTCAGATACTGTTTGAGTATTATATACAATTCAATTAGTGTGTACATTCAAGTGCTATTTGAAATTGCATCTTTTATACACAGCCAAAGGCCTAAAGTTGGAATGATAAGAGTAGACTGTTAGTTTGGGTTACTTGTTGAAACTAATTGTTTAAGTCATGATTATATGACTGAAACCTGTATCTCAGGTTTGTATCTCAAACACAGAAATTAGGCAGTTTGAATTTAAGTCTCAATTGCATCCTCATAGAAACCACTGTTTGATAGTTATTTTTAAGAAACTATAGGGAAGTAGTATCAACTTTAACCCTTTGAAGGCTGCAACAGGTTTGTATGCGATGTGTCAGTGAGGCTGTATGCTGTTTATACTCATTTTAGTCAGTGGAACAGGATCAGTCTTCATACACAATATACTGATACATGTAAAATTTTTTTTTCTAAAAAAAAAGTTTGTTTTATGAAGTATTAACAGAAGATATAACAATAATGTATTACCTTTAATGTATACTGTATCTTAGTTAAAAAATGTACTTCAGGAAGCTCCATTGAATTAGGTACCCATTTCAAAATTAAATAATACATTAGATTATGGAGAAATTAAGAGGATTTGAAGTTAGTTCGACAAGCTGCTGAAAAACATAAAAAGCTATTCCAGATGCTTCAGGATGCCTTACCAGCAATGGTGAGATGGTGTCTGGGATAAAAAGAAAGTCAAGACTAGCTAAAGAGATGTAAGGGTCATCTCAGTGAGGGTACATTGGTTGACACTATTAATGTTTTAGGCCAATGGAATGTAACTGTTAAAAGGTGTGTTTGGGTTGAATGTAGCAATATTCACTTTTATGCCTCCAGCTTTTGATGTCTTTCTAGTCTGAAAGTCATCTGCATAAGGGCTCTGCAAAGTCATGAGTGTATCATTGTTTCAGACATGCCTCGCAGTATCTTTAGTACATCTCATTAGTGCATGTATGTTTTTATCTTAATAGTTGCTTAACGCGTACTGCTGATATGTAAGGAGATCAAAGATCAAAGCCCAGGACAGTGTTTCTGCCTGTAATTTAATACAATTGAAAACAATTTGTGGGTGCAGGCTTGTAAAAGTGTCCTGGTTTTAGGAGCTGAAATTCTGCCCCAAAACCTCATTAAGATTAGGCAGGTTGCCTGCAAGGTGTTTATGTAAAGCAGTTTCTCATCTGTTGCAAAGTTAATGTTTTGTAGCAAATTCCATGGTGAAATCCTCTCTCTGCCATTTTTAGGACCAACTCCCTGACTTTATCTAAGGAAAGACACACACACACACACACACACAGAAAAGGATCTCTCCTTTGTGTGAGACAAAAGTTGCTTGTTAAGCAAGGGGTTATGCAAGAGGGACAGGGAATATATGAGTAGCTAGGGATTTCTCAAAAAAACAGCCAGAAAGCCCTAGCAAACCTTGGAAATAAGGAAATGAACTGGGAAGCATGTGGAGACATATTTGGTTAGTGAGGAAATGAAGCTAGAAAGCTGGTCAATGCAAAACTGTTTTTTTGCATAACATCTTGGGTTTTGCATTAATTGTGGGTTAGGATATTTTGTTAATTTGAAAGCTCAGAGCAACAGTGAACAATAGTAGGAACAATAGGTCTCTTTAGATTTTCCTGCTGCTAGATAAGGAATAAAAACGGACGAAACATGAAAGGTGTCAGTGGGTATTTATAATGCACAATGCTTTTGCGCTTACCTTACTTCCAATCATTCTTTCCTTTGGATGAGTGTGATACTCCAGTTCTACAGAATTAATTTTCCTCAGGTGCACCTTAATAATACAGTCACACACTTTATTATTATTATTATTAGTATTATTTATTTTTGAAAGTATTTTTCATTGCTTTCCTTTATTCTCCTTGGTTCTGTCTCAATCCCTATTTATTCCTCCTTATCTGCTTTTCAGGTCTTTGAGATTTCTAATCTTTCAATTTCTATTTCTGTGCCTGCTCTGATCCGTGTGCTGTTAGTTGTGAGGTTTTAGTCTCAAAGTGTCAAGGACTTGATAGTAGAAAGCAAAGCAAAAAAACAAGAAAAAAAGCATGATGAAAGCAGTGAGGCTATAGAAATGAGAGAGAGGTGAAATAAAAAAGTCTAGTTTTAGTTTAAAAGCAAAATGGTTGTGGGGTTTTTTGTTGTTATGTCTTTGTGAGGAAATAGAAGCAATATGTACCTTTGAAATTAGAAAAAAAAAATAAAGCTTGAAAATTGAAGGCCTGAAATAAAATTTATATGAATACCCCAAAATATGAAGTCTATAACTTGTCAACACTTAGTTGTTGCATTCATTAAACTGTTACTTTGAAATGGTTTAATATTATGGCACTTGGATGCAGTAGTTAGAGTCTTCACAGATGTAATAAAAGAAAATAATTTAAAATAGTTTTTTTTCTTAATTTATGTGTGTCCTGAAATCTTTGAGAGTGTTATTTCTTACTACCCATATAGGAAAAGCATATGACTTCATAATTTGCACACCGCCACAAAATACAGATTCTCATATTGTCATTCTTGAACTTCCATATGAGGAGTTTTTGTCACTTGCTAAGCTTGCAGAATTTAAGCTTTGCTCTCCAATTATCCATAAGAAATGGAAATTGCTAATGCATCTTCAGCTCTATCCAGTAACTGTGCCCTAGTGGAAACAGTACTGCTGTTTTTACCTTCTGTTTTGCTGACAAACAGAACAGGCACTCTGTTTACTCCTGAAGCAAGGAAATCTCTTGTACCTTGGTTGAAAGATTGTTTCACCCAGCCACGAGTTTGTACCGTTGTATAGCTGATGGCAATATGGAACAGATGTACCTATTTCTAAACATGGTGATTATTTGGAATGTAGGAGATTGACCATAATATGAAAAGTAGTAATTTATCATTATTACATTTCTGTTTCTAAGCATAATTATCTTAATCTTGTTACAGAGCATTGAAATGAACTGTTAATTATGCTATGTAAAACATCTGCCAATTAATTTTTCCTCATACTCTTTGAAAGTCAATAGTGTTGCAGTAATACTTTGCTTTTAAAATTGTCATTCACTGTTTTCTAAAATCAGAACTGGCGAGTTAACTTTCATGTAAGCATAATGCTAGAAAAATAATAATTATCATATAAGTAAGTATTTTTATGCAGTGTTGTCTGTTGTTAAAAAGAGATTCAAAGTTAGGTTTCAGGGTTTAATTTCATGATTGTTGCACTCAGCAGCATGGGAAAGCTTCAGTTTTCTGTTCTCATTTGTTTTTTCTGTCAAATTGCTGTAAGTGAGCAGAATGTTATGCATTTCAGTAAGCGCAGGATTCGTAACAGTGACATAACAAGAGAGGTTGGTGTGTTGGAACAATATATAAATGTTTAGCAGCCCTGATAGAAATTGCAAATGGGATTGCTTTTTATTTTCTTCTGAAGTCAAACATCTGATACTTCTGTTATTATCTAAATTTCATTTTTCATCACCGTGTTTTTCAGAATCCAAGGATAATGTCGTGGCAAAACCTATCCACATTTTTGGGTTCAATTGCTGTTCTTGCCATAGACTTTTCTGTGTGATTCTGAGTAAATTAGCTAGCTACACTTATTGTGCAAGAATTCATCACCTGTAGGGATGGTGTGATACCACCATGATCAGAGACATTTTGTAAGAATGAATGCATAATTATTTTTGTACAGTTTTTGTTTGCAACTGTTCATGTTATGAATATGAGACTAACAAATGCCTAGAAAGACATAATTTATATTCATTAATGGATGGAAGACTCTTGGAGCTTAATCTTGGGGAAAAAGCACTGTCAGTGTTGAGCTTTAAGATGGTGGTGTTCTGAGTGCGTGTTTGGTTTTCACCTGTGGTGAAAAGCTGTTTATATTACTTCAAGATACCTAGTCACTGGGTACGTAACCATAGCTGTTTTTCAAAAGGTGTAAGTTAGGTTCCCACCAGTTCATATTTAGCACTTGCATAGAACTTCAGCTTGTATAGCAGCTTTGTATCGTTCAGTTGATGCCACTCTTCCATCACACAGAACCTTATTTGGAGAACAGTTTAGAGCTTCATCAATTTCCATTGCTGCAACAGGTGATCCCAATGTCTAATACATTGACCAATATCAGCCCACCCCAACAGCGGTGCTGATATCATTAGATACAGAATGATTTTATTGAAAGAGGAGAGGTTTGACTGGTGATTAAGCTGATGCTGTTATTTCCTCCATGGTGTTTAGGAATACTGCAAATAACTGGTGCTGGCTGTTTTTATACCTTTTTATCTTCTAATGGTGTGGGGCACAAGGGTGATTGCAATGTTTTAAAAACTTTTTGTAGTGCTATTTTGAGTAATTTCAGATTATATTTTTAATAAAGTTGTGACATAAGAAACAAATCAGTAGCCCTATGAAACAAAGAAGTAGTGAATCTGGAGGATACTGCTGTGTTTACAGCCTTTTACCATAGGGAGTACTCTGGTATTGAATAGCATGTTCTGGGGCATTAATGAGTACAGCTGAGACATTAATTCCTAGTGAATAATTAATACAACAGTTGAGTGACTGTGTTTATGAATGCTCTTTGAGTAGTCTGAAATTCCTGGAACGTTCAGTGATAATCTACATAAATGTCTGTGTAAGCCTGTGCTCGGGACTGACACTCGGGCTCAGAGTTTTGACTCCGTCATCTGCAGGTGATGTCCCTGGGCTGCAGCGTGGCACACCCAGGCTGGCTCCGTGCAGCACTGTGGGGCAGCTTTAGCTGTTTTCTCAAAGCTTGTGTGTGTAACACTTGCTGGCCAATTGCCAGTTTCGTGGAAGGCAGTGTATGTGTCCCTCCACA